ATGATGATGTTTTAATGAATACAGGCTAATTAAAACTACATGGTGATTAGTTCAGGTTTATTGTAAGTTTATTGAATTTGATTTGACATTTTTTACGACACCTTCAGTAATCATCCAATTTAGATAGAACCTTCATCCATAGGTAACTATTATAAAGAGGAAAAATCTTGTCTCTACTAATATTATAAAGAGCAAATATTTGAGTGTGGAAATTTTAGACCGTATTTAAAAAATATTTTTGAAAGTAAAATTAGTACTTTATCTTCAGGAAGCTACATCATAAGCTGGTAACACACACTACAATGTATGTGGACGAAATCGCGGGATAACGGCAAGTAAAGGATAAACTAAAAAACGACTGGAACGGTTTTATATTTTAATAATTATCGGCGATTTATATAAATTATATTTTAGTTTGCAAAATTCTTTGTATATACAACGTGTTCCAAAATTCAACGATAAGCGGGCGCCAAGAGGTAGACCTGCTCATGTGTACTTATGGAAAAATAAGAAAAAAATTATATCTTATTAATCTTTTTTATTATAAAATAAAATTCGAAAATTTTCGAAAGAGTTGTAGCGAATAGTAGTGCTACTTAGGTATCCGATACCAAAAAAAGATTAAACATAATTGAGAAGTTGTGGTCGTGGTAGTTGAAAATATCATAAAAGGTGTAAATTTTCGAAGATTTTCGAATTTAATTTTATAATAAAAAAGATAAGATATAATTTTTTTCTTATTTTTCCATAAGTACACATGAGCAAGGGTACCTCTTGGCGCCCGCTTATCGTTGAATTTTGGGACACGTTGTATATATATTTGGTACATACACAAATTAAATCGCAGGGTACAGCTTTATAAAATAAGTTGGTAAAATAATACGTTATGTAAATAGATAATAGCAGTCAGTTTGGCTAAACTTCAAGGCGACACTGTAGCTATCTATTCACCGTTGTAATATCAGCAGGATATTGATAAAAACAACGGCGAGGTAGGGTGCGGCATTTTATTGCACTATATCTATGGTTGAACATTTGAGAATGTACTCGAGGATAATAATAATCGTTTATATGAGCATCATAGAATAACTGAAGAATAATTTTAACACAAGCATTATACACAAAATACGCGAGAATAATAGGAAGAAAACACACTACACAATTTCGAGAATAATAATAATCGTTTATATGAGCATCATAGAATAACTGAATAATAATTTAAACGCAAGCATTATACACAAAATACGCGAAAATAATAGGAAGAAAACACACTACACAATTTCGAGAATAATAATAATCGTTTATATGAGCATCATAGAATAACTGAATAATAATTTAAACGTAAGCATTATACACAAAATACTCGAAAATAATAGGAAGACATCACACTACACAATTTTCAAGGTACCTTGTCCAGAAGGGGCGGATTCGCCACGTCTTTATACGCGTTTTCAAGTTCATTACAGCAAACGTTTAATTTACTTCTAACTCTATCCCTTACGAACGAGTAATGTATAACTAAAAGCGTCTTATATGGGCGTTATTCTGAACAGGGTTAAAATAATAAAGCTCTCGATAAAGTACTATGTGGTCTTGATCTGCCTAGCTACTGAATCGGAGACAATAAAGGTACTGCCTTCAGGTCTACTTGTGTTCTAGATGATAATGGTTGAATCAAATTACAAGGACAATGACACGTAACAAATTGGTTTCAGCTGAATAACTGTAAACCTTGGTTGATTAGAGTAAGATTAATAAATAGAATAGGTAATATATTTATAGAATACTATTATCGTGCTGTAGTGTTTCTCTGAGATAATAAATCGGGAATTTAGATAGAACTGGTGATAATTTCTTTCGCAAGTAAGTGTTGTTAATGTATGAAATAACTAAATAAAACACATTTGTACTGCATGTAGATACTCTTTTATAGTAATGCAGGAGATATTGATTAAAATGCTATCGACGTTATCATACCTTATCAATACATAATGATAGTGCTAAGCCGAACGATATGAAATTTGTTTGAACAACAAGTGACTAAAATTATATTTTATATAGTAAAACGAAAAAAAAATATATATCTAACTGGTGTCATTGATGAATGGAAATTTTTGAATAAATATTAGATAACATCACATACATTGCTCGGATTCCAAGATGAGTAGCTAGAGCCCCCGTATTATAAAGTACCTGAGACAATGAAGGTAACACAATACCCAGACCTGAGACAAAGACAATGGAAAGTCCATTTTTTACATTGATCCGACTGGGAATCGAACCCGGGACCATAGAGATGGCGACACCTTTAAACCGGCGTGGGGATCACTAGGCTACGGAGGTCGTCTTTCTAGGGCCACTTTTATGAATGGGAATAATAAAAACAGATTTCCAAATATTAGGCACATTTACCTTTGTTCATTTAAGTTTTAATTCACAACCACCTCAAGGTTCTTATTTTAAGGTTATTTTTTTAAACAATATGTTAAATACAGGGTAATTTAATAACATTGCCATTGGGACCTATTTCAAGAACACCAAGCTTCAATAAAAAGTAAGAAATCAGTACAATTTGAATAAGAAAATAGACAAGACCAATGAACACTCTTTAAAACTGGACAATTTCAGATATATTATAATATCAATGCAAAAGTAGTTACTATCATAGTGAGTACTTATAACAGCCACAACTCTTAAAAAAAATATCTGGTCAAACGAGACTAGACTAATTGCTAAGTACATTAACACATCAATTTTAAGTTCATTTACCTCTTCAACCAGTCCCAAATAGTTATATTATATTATTATTCTCAATCCATATTGATTAATGAGGCATTTAGATTGTAATTGTGTAGTGCCCTTGAAACAATCTATTCTATATGATGGCATCATAGTAAGATTTCATCTCAATTGGGAGCTGTAATTGGCATACTCATAAAATAACAGATAACATTTTAAAGCTTATTGACACTGACAATTGAGCTGTTTAAAATTAAGAGTAATCTATGTATGTTTCAAAACAAAAGTATTTCTATACATAGTATAAAACAAAGTTGCTTTCTGCTGTGAGATCTTTTAATATACAGAATAATTCAAGAAAAAGGTTTTAATGTATACAGGACCAGGTAAGTGAAGAAATTTGTGTAAAACTAGTAATAAATATATCAACGCTGGAAAGCAAACAGATAGTAACCTGCAAAACTACGCAAAACCAAAAGTGATCTTCAAGAGCAGAAAACTTTATTTTTCAATAAATAATTCATATAAACATCCACTGTAACAAATAAAGTGTTCCTTAGTCAATTTCTACGGAAGTAAGACTTTTTTTTTGAAAAATATAAAGATTTTCCACTCTAAATATCCATTTTGATTTTGCAGGTTACATGTTTGCTTTCCAGCATGAATAAGTTACATTACCAAGGTATAAAAGATATACATTTAGAATTTGGGAGATCTATATTCATAATATATTTAGCAAACTATTTTCACTGGTATAGAAAACAATGTATACTTTTTTCATATTTCTTTAGAATACTGTAGCAGTACATTGACTCTGCAAATTTTTAAGTAATAATTGTATTGCAATAGAATCTAAACTACTTTCATTTTGCCATTATCTACCTGAAGTTTAATATTGTTTATTATTTTGCAATCTAGAAGTAAGATAATCTTTGTCATAAAGGTTTGTAGTTGAAGCCCACTTTTCATAATTATGCTGACATTTGCAGAATTGTCCTTCTATACAGTATACTAGTTGTTTCTGAGTACAAATGTACTTTAATATTTAAACAAGAATTTTACTTTAAAAAAATGTTTATTAACTTCATGAATTCCAAAATAAAAAACTAAACACATAATTGTCATAAGAAGCAATAGAATAACCCATGATTCTAATATAACATATGTCTGTGATTTGTCTGTCATATAACTTAATAACGTCTTTTTTATATATATGTTGTGTACATCTCTTTCAGATAACACTTTCAAATTCTATATTTGGGCTTTCACTACACAACATACAAAAGCAGTTATTAAAATTTAAGTGAACTGAGTGACACATTGGATTCTGGCAAAATCTACAAGGGCAATGCCAATAATTAAAAAAAAAGAAGAATGGTTCTAATATTATATGTAATGTGTAAAGGCTATATTCAGAATTTTCATTTACTAAGACCATGGCCTGATTAAGTATAAAAAAACCACATCTAATCTTTAAAGTAAATACTGTAGGGCTTGGCCAGATAAGATTGCATGAAGCAAACATAAAGTTTGGCTTAAACACTCAATTAACAAGGTAGTAGAATTTTGAGGTATGTACAGTTGATAGCAGGCCCCGGGCTATAAATGAGAAGACTGGGCATTTGCCCAGGGCGCCAATTTTTTGATAAGATAATAAAAATAAATGAGAGAAACAAATTGCCTTAAAAATATAATTTTAAGTTGTAACCTTTGCTAGAAGTGTGAATTATGTTGAAATATATGTCTACAGTTTAAAGACGTGTTTTCTTGTTATTTCCTTCATAAAATATAAGTAACAAAGATTATTTGCTTTTACATTATAGTAATAAAGGGGGCACCAGTAGACCATTTGCCCAGGGCACCAGTCACTTAAGCCTGGGGCCTGGTTGATAGCTTATTATATTGGATTAAATTTTTTCTGCCGATTTTCATTTTAAATATTGACAGTGAAGTTTATAATTACGTACAAATATTTGGTCTATTATTAATCTGTACTGCTGAATGTATATTGTAAATAATTGTCATTCAGTATTATATTTACTAATGGTTATCCATGGTAAGATTTATAATGAAAAGTCATTTATCCAAAATGGGAATACAGTAGGTACATACCTACTGTGCTCAATAACAAGATCTATCATTAGATCATAAGTCAAATTTTGTGTAAATAACTCTATTAACAGTGGCACTGTAAAAAGTTTGAAGTTAATTTTAACTTGGAGCTTTAAACTTGAAACCTTGATAAACAATCAAGAACTTACCTTTCGGAATGCAAACAGTTCATTTTGGAGTTTCTGCCTCTCCGCAGAGGGCTGCTGGCCTTTGCCACGAATAAATTTTAGCATTCTTCCGGCCTGCAACAAAACAATCACTTAGCACAATTCACAAACACTTAGATACAAACAGGTACAGACAGCACAAGCTAACCATTACAATTTCATGCTTATTTAACGCGCGAGCACTAGCTTACGAACCGGCAACAGAAAGCCGACTGAGTTAGGACCCTAGGCACACTGGCGCACACACTACACTGTCACAGCCGATCAGCCCACGCACTAGATAAAAACACTGCTATTTCTTCAAATCGCCAGATAACCGGCTTGTAGATAACATAACAGATATTAATAGTATTATCGTATGTAACCATATAAAATGTTATGGATTAAATCATTTACAACTCAAAGACAACGCCTGTCCTGGTGGTTTTGCAAACGTTATTAGTACACCTGAGTCTCGACTACGTGAAGACATTTTTTTGTTTAAATACATCATATTACAAACCTTTGAACGACAGTTTGAAGAGTTTTAGTTAGGAAATAAGAAAGATAATCAGTTTAAAAGGCAATCCACAAAAACGGCGTCAGTGATACACACAAACATGAAAAAAAGCACTCTCAAATCCAAACGAACGCAAACTCACACTAGCACTGCGTCGTGACGTGACTAACTACCAGTGTTGTCATTATATGATTTTGATTTTGCCTTTTACTGGAACAAAATAAAAAATATAATGGTAAAATTTTAAAATGTAATATATAAATAGGATTAATATAAATCTAAAAAGAATTATCTTTTACTGATAATCTATTAATGTAGAAATTACTAAAAAGTAATTTTCAAAATACAAGCCAAGCTTTATAACAGCGATATAACAAAACTAGATTTATCTTAGAGACTGTTTTTTATTATTTGATATAGATAAATCTAACCTAGACTTCTAAACGTTATATATTTTGATTAACCTTTGGTGTTCATTATTGTAAGGAAAAATATTTTAGTTATTCACTTAAATATTCAGTTGTCTTACATGATGATGATGATTATACATGTAAGCTATAAGGTAATAAGGGTGCCAATGTTATGTAATTAAATTTAGTCTATTTCTATTCTGTAATTGCAAATAGTATGTGGCATCTTATATTTTAGGTATATTTATATTTTATCTATATTTATTTATTCAAAGTCAATTAATTTATTTACATTTACAAACAATAAAAATTACACTAAAAATTATAAAGTAGCTTATTTTAAACAAATAAAAAAAAACTATATCTATATACTTGTATTATTAATTAAAACAATGATATTTACGATATGTATTAAATTAATATAAAATATTAGGTCACTTAAACTTAAAATGTATCTTATAATATCCTAGCCATATGCCATTCTATTGTTCGCTTGCGATAATAGGGATGCCTAGTGAAAACAAGTAATTAACACACATTTCCGATCGTTAGTGACGCGAACCGCATATCGTTCGTTCGTTCCATACGATTGTATATATTTTCAGCGCCGATTGTTATTTAAACTATAGTTTTTCATTTCACACCTTCTGGAATTGAAATTCTAGGTGGATTTATTACAGCACAGTCACCCACAAGTATATTGTAAACAATAAAAATTAGGTTGTAATTCAAGAGTAAAATGTATGATGACTGAAACGATGATACATTATTGTTCGACTGAATCTGTTATTATTCATAGCAAAACAGCAATTAAGTGAACACACCTTTGTGAGAAAGGTGTGTCCGTTTCTCACAAGAATATAAAAAATATATATTTGTCATATGAAAGATATGAAACAAAAAGTAGAAACTGGTTTCCCGAACTAGATTACCCTTCCATCAGTCTTGTTTTTATATATGGCAATTTTGAGGTGTACACGTTCAAAATCTAGTTTTAAGGTTTAATTTATAGAATTTGATGTAAGCACGGTGTGCTCATGTAGAAATTCATATTATGTACTGAAACTTCTTATAATCAATTAAAACAGTTGATTGGGATAATTTTATTGGTGGCATATTTGTCCTATAGTTGTTGTAGGTGTTTAACAAGAAAAGTAATATTGATAAATTAAGAAATGTATAAAGTTTTTGATCGTAACGACGTTCCGAATGATGCTATATGAGTTTTATGAGATTTTGTCATTCAATAATATTTATTTCCTACCAATGAAAACAATTCAAACATATGTATAAATTTTTTTATATACGTTCTTAAAATGAATAACTTATTGTCTTTTCTATAAAATAAAGTAACGATAGTGTATTTCAAATTTTGTCATTCTGTTCGGATCGCCCTTGCATTTTTTACCTACATTCGGAACGAAATGTGCTTGTCGAACTGATCAGGCTGAAATAAAGGTGTCAAATCCATCCGTGATCTTCAGACCAAATACTTTCATTTGGCAGAGTCGTGATCAATTGATCATAGTCTATTCTCGAACGCAATCGTTCCGCTCTGTATTCTTGATAGGTTCACTAGTGTACTCTGCAAGCCCAGATCTATAGGGCAGTTGCCCTTGGTGCCAGGGTCAGGTGGGCACCAAAACATGATAATATGATACAATTAAAAAAATCAAACATAGGCTGCGATGGGAAGGATATACATATTTTCAAAGTCCTAAATTAAATCCATCTATTCAAATATTTCGTAATATGAGCAGTGCTAATCCGTCAATGATCCGTACTAATCAGTCCTTAGAGGGCTAGGCATGTAGGGCGCTCGTATTTGGGAGGGGCTTAACAATCGGTCAGTTGTACAAACGTCAATTAAGGTTTAATGATTCCTTTAGGCTCTAATGAATGTCAAAATGTCATTTAAAACTAATAAAAAATTGTAATGGACGTATGTGCAATTGACCGAATGTGTTTTTCTCGAATTATTTGTACCTTTAAAAATGACTCCAGTTATTTGATCAAAGATCAATTCCAAAATACAAAATTCTGTCATTGTGTATAGCTACTGACCAAGTTAATAAATATAAAGTTCTTGCTACAGACCTAAGAAGTTTCTTTTGTCATTGGCAAAGTATCACTCTTTGATTGGTTTACCTCACATCTGAGCTCACATTAATCTTCTATTTTGGGGTGATTTTTTTATGGGTGTCGTTTCAGCCCAAACAGAAAGTTTATTTTTTAAAACAATACTCCTAAAAAAGTATTTTTTGTCAAGTTTATCACTACCACTATAGCGAGCATTAATAAATCTTTATAGGGTATTTGAAGTTACATAAATGTATTTTGAAACACGGCTATAACACAAAATCACTTTGTCGTCGAGATTTCGTGCCCACTATAATACTATATGCTATGACGAAGATCTAAAAAACCACAATATCACAACATCGCCCTATTGTTGGGTTTTCATCTCTACTATAACGGAAGATCCATTAAAGTTCGTTTAGAATCCTTATTGTATAAATCAGGCACATTGTGGCGACAGTAAACAGTGCAATAGAGTGTTATTGTTGTGTACTGGTAATATTGTAGGTTTTGTATAACATGTATTTAATTTAACAGATATATAAAGGGTGAATTAAACTTTTTCATCAATTATTAGTACATTATTTTTGCTGTTTAAGCTTATAGAGCCAGAATGTATTATAGAACTCTTTTATAATACAGCCAAACACCAATAAAACCTTTATAAACTATTTACACAGCTTTTTTGAGATATAAGGTTTGCTTAGAAGACAAAATTGTTAGTTGGGAGTGGTTTGCCTAGCCTAGGGTGGCAAATTTAAATTAATTCGAGCCGGCGCTGAATGACAATACACTGAATAGCATAATCTCCATCATGACATCAGCATACACACAGGCCACAGGTCCTTCCTATAGATATAATAAATTGAATAGAGAGAACGGACCATAAGTCATAACGCATCACGAGGACAGTCGCTGCAGATGCAGTCGGCATCAACGGCTAAACACGCCTTCCAAATCCCGTAGGATCTCGAGATCGTTAATTTTTAGTGGCCCATCCTATGAACTCTAAAGAAAGTTGCATAACAACCGTACCGCAGACCGAACGCACTAACCACTGCAACGTCAAGTTCTTTTTAACCGATTTCAAAATCAAAAAGGACTTCTATGTTTACGGATATTGTCTTCCAATTGTTGACCAATATTCTAAATTCTTTTTTATTCGATAGCTTGATGGATCGAGGTCGTCCCATTTAAATTTTATCAAAATATATAAGTTCTCCTTTTATAACAAAACACAATACGTTTTCCGACACATATCACCTGAATATTAAAAAGATATATTATGACATGGCCTATTTTAAAAACTTTAATTGAAATGGGCCATTTGCGTATTTAGAATTCGTTCCATAGAATATGTAAGAAACTACCTTTTTAAATCTAAAAGGAAGATTTTCTATGTTCAACAAGTATGTATACTGTATTCTTTGATGTATATTTTTTATGAAAGTGATAGATAGTATCAATTATTAAAGTAAAAAGAAAAATACTTTTACTCTTGGTATAGGAGTAGGCAATGGGGTAGTTATGTAAATCGATTTGTTCTTGAATTGTGAAATATAGATTATTGGAAAAGAAAATGTTGAGTAAATAAACAAAATCTCCAATTCTAAGACTGTAACTGTGTTAATTTAATTTTTTACATAAATATTTAATATTTTTAGGGTTGCTGTATACGCGCCTATCATTTAATTAATATCCTACAGAAAACCTTCGCCCGACTGCAATAGCATTTTCTCGAATAAGTCGCTTTTAAGATAAGTATTATTTATCACTTTTTAAAGTTTGAAGTCGGTTCTACTTTTTATAAAAAGTTTTATTAACAATTTACTTTATTCAAATGTCCATCTTGTTATTTGTTACATTTTGTTAGTTTTAGATATGAAACTGCTTATATCAACTATTAATATGCAGAGGTTATATTAGGTATGCAAACAAAGACGCCTTATAACTGAATTTTTCATGGATATCGTAGGTACCTATCATGACATTGAAACAAAATTTATGTAAATCGTTCCTAAGCTGTTTTCAGGTGCTCGGTTATAAGGCTGTTTGTATAATAAATGTAGCTTTCATGATTGCAAATAATGGTAAATTTCGCCTTGGCTTAGTGCGTCAAGGGTTTATAAAGGCTATGGTGGTTGCTTGTATAAGTCGTTCCGGAGCCCGTTTCATTCTTAAAGCCTTTGGAGATATGTTAATGAACAGTTATAACAGTTTTGCTTAATGTTAATCCTCACACGATACTTTGCAGACATTAATTGGATTTGAGAACTCTTCTGCTTCTGGTACAACGGGGCGTTCAGG